GGTCATGTCCATATTTTTGTATGCTTGTGAAATGTCGTTGACATCGTAATAAGGATACAAGCACTGGAGAGATGAGAGGTTTCTGCTATCTCATCGGTATTTCGTACCGAGATCACACAAATAATTAGACAGTAATAACCAAAATTTGAATCGCCATCGAGCCATGTTCAAGACCTTCTTACTTCAGTAAAACGGCGCAAACTGATGTGGTACGAGCATGTCTAACGATCATCCGGACTGACCGATTCTACAGGGAACAACAAAAGGAGGGGGACAACGAGGCAGGGGAAATTAATTATTGGAAGACAATACCAAAGAGTGGAATGACAATGGCTGGGATATTACATTGTATTACATTGTGGAAAGCTGATAACCATTAGGAATTAATGAAGCTGATACCGTAGCAAAGTCTACAGTGGTGCCCCAGCGTTTGGAAAGCAAAATATCGTCCTGCGGACCTCAATTGGTCTCTTTTAAGGACAAGTGGGCTATCTCGAAAAAATGCTGTTTTTTAGAAAATCGAAGGTAATGTTTTTGCCCCTTGTTCAGTTTCATTAAAAGACAAGGAGAGTTTTCTTTATAACCAAACAGATATACACACCAATGAAACCGAACTTCTCCTATAGGTAGGACAATGCCCACTTTTTGTGCATATCAAGATTTCTAGAAACCCCCGAAATTGGAGTTAGCCCACTTGTCCTTAAAAGCGACCAGTTTGCCCGCAGGCCGTGAGTTTGAAACCCTTTTGGTTAACAGAAATAGGATAATCGATTCCCATGTACTGAATCTACAAGTATGCCGTGACAAAACATTCACCATAAATCTTTCTCATTAAAAATCACGTGCTCGTAACAAACAGCGGGGGTTCTACTTTTACGCAGGCCTATTTAATTTCACCATCATTTTCGTACTCGTAGGTAAGTGAAAACACCCCTTTTGCTTATTCCCTGGGGAAATTTGCATCACATTGAAGAGTACAATCACTGGGTCATTGGTTGTAAGCTATTAATTACTATT